GTGTGTGTTTAAGTCACACATTTATTGCCACATCAGCAACTCGTGTATTTCATGCCACAATCAATATAGATACAAATATATAATGTAATAATAATGTAATAATAATAATAATTTAGTCATATTTTATTAAGAAATGATACTATACACACACACACACACACACACACACACACACACACACATATATACACATAAATATATATACACATATATACACATAAATATATATATATATATATATATATATATATATATTGTGTGTGTGTAAAAAAAGCCTTATATTACCTAATTTGATGATGCTGCCTTCAAAAATATCAATATAAACATCAATAAAATCTGTCTACCTACATCTATGCATACAAAAGCACATGTACACAGTTTATGTCGCTTTAAGGGACTTCTATATGCATGCTTTTTTCTGAAAATCTGCAACTTTCTATCAGTGTCTGGATGTGATAAAACACCCACAGATGTGGCAGAAAGCATTTGCTGCATATTTGCATTTTCTGGTCATAATTCTGACCTTGAAATCGGGATAAGACACAAAATAATAGGAGAGAATTGAATAAGCCGAGAATTAAATAAGCAGTTGTGACCTGCATCAGAGGAAGCTGGGAATTCTTTTGTTGCTGCAATTTTCCTATTTATGACAATAAAATATTTCAGCACCATACAAATGACTGTCAAAGTAAATAATAATAATAATAATAAAGTTGCATGATGAAGCAACACAGACACTACCCAATGGGCAACTTGATGTTAAGACAACGTGAAAAAATGAATAAATCAAAAACACACATCAATTGGATGTAAATTGAATACCTTGATGTCAAAACAACATCAAATATGTATCTAACATTCAATAACAGGACTATCCTTTGACAGCAAGGTAGGTTACATGCATAGTAGGGACACAAAATCTAAATGTGTTATTTGTATTTGAAGCTTTCAGATGAATAAAACCTTTCTTTTATTATAATAATTTGTGTCATTTTTCTGATGGTCTAAAAGTCATCAATGTGTGGATGTCAAATAAACGTCACAGTCTAGACATCAAACTTCCTTTTGAGATCATTTTTGAAGTCAATTAGATGTCATTTCAATATCAAGACACTCTCTGGGTATTTTTTTCCAATTTTAGAAACACCTAATAAATCTACTAAGAAGCATTTAGGAAATATGATGCCAAGAAATGTTATTAAAGGGGTAGTTACACCCCCTAAAATACAGTTCTATTATCATTTACTTGCCCTCATTTCATTTTAAACCTTTTAGATCTTCCTTCATGCTTGGAACACAAATGAAGAGAGTTTTAATCAGACCTGACAGATTTCAGTCCCTTCGACAAACGTCTACTCACTCAAAATTCTTGCTTCAAAATTTTCATAGAGATCAACATATAAATATGTATCAAGTGGTTTTATCCAAGATTTCTGAAGAGACAAGATCTCTTTATATGATGCAAACAGCAATCTGGGAAAAGTAGCCTAATTATACCTACTTGAAAAGAACAATCTTTACTTGTTCTTGCGAAAAGCTTAAAACTCATGGAGCATATTTTAGCCCCTCGTGTGTAGCGTTTTTTTTTTCATGAATACCCCCATTTATTTTTGGGAAGAATTTTCAAAGAATAAGAATAATGTGGAAACTCAGCGTCTGCTTTAAATATTTAAATGACTTTTTAACCCAGTTTGTCCATATATTACCCACATTAAAGTGTGAAACATCCCAGTAAGTGCAAAGACTAATAGGTAAAGAACTACAATCCCATGAAGCATTGCTGCATGTAATGAAGCATTGCAAGTGACAATGATTAAAACCTTCTGAAATACTTTAATTGTATCTGTAGAAATGTTATATTTCAAGTAATGTTAAACATGCAAATAATATTCAACGAGAAAAAAATGTTTACTGTTGCACTATTGTTTTTTCTGAGGTTCATATCTCATTGGTTCATGCTGAGGCTCAATCCTCATTGGTTCTTTGGTAGCTAACAGGTGTCCTGTGATTCTAGAATGATTATTTCAATTCAATTCATCTGTATTTCTACAGTGCTTTTACATACAGCAGATGAAGAAAAGAGAATAAAAAGCCATAACAATATTTCAGATTGTGGAAGATTCCAGTACAGGCAGGCAGATGAGTAGCAGTAGAATGCTGGTGTATTTCTAGTTGAATTCAAACTAATTAATTAATTGGTTAACTAAACGATTAACTACAATAATAGGTTCTCAGGCATCAAGCAAGCATGCTTGAGCTTCCATGACCAAATGACATCGTTAAATTCATGTTATCTTGGATTACAATTAGGGCTGTACAATATATCGTTTCAGCATGTGTGATCATTCGCAATAGTCACATGGCAGGACTTGCAGTATTGAGTCTGGATTATAATTGATCATTTGCAAGTGTTTTTGAGGCCTGTGGCTGTATGAGGGTTTTGAAAGCATTCATGCATAAGAAATTGTATTGTTAGTAACTTTAAATACGATTAATTGCATTGAATTATTTGTATTTTTATTATTTAATCCCTGCACCTGAATACTGTTAGACACGGAAAACTATAAAACACTTTGTTTCAATCGTAACTTTTCCTTTATTGTATTTATCTATATTTTTCTTTTGTTTATGAGATGTTATGCAAATGCACTCGCCTACAGATTCCTCCCAATCAATCTAGGATTCTAAATACTTTCCAAATAGAGATATACAAGTCATCTGGCGAAACTGTTTTCATATCGCAATATACAGTTGAAGTCAGAATTATTAGCCCTCCTAAATTATTATGCCCCCGTATATATATTTTCCTCCATTTTCTTTTTAACGGAGAAAAGATTTTTTTTCAACACATTTCTAAACATAATCGTTTTAATAACTGATTTATTTTATCTTTGTCATGATGACAGTAAAGAATATTTTACTAGATATTTTTCAAGATACTAGTATTCAGCTTAAAGTGACATTTAAAGGCTTAACTAGGTTAATTGGCCAAGTTAGGGGGATGAGACAAATCATTGTATAGCAGGGGTGTCCAAACTCAGTCCTGGAGCGCCGGTGTCCAGCTGAATTTAGCTCCAACTTCCTTCAACACACCTGCCTGGAAGTCTCTAGTAGACCTAGAAAAAGCTTGATTAGCTGGTTCAGGTTTAATTGGGGTTTGAACTAAAATATGCAGGACACCTGCCTTCCAGGACTGAGTTTGAACACCACTGTTGTATAGGGATGGTTAGTTCTGTAGACTATTGAAAATAAAATATTGCTTAAGTGGATAAAAATTGACCTTAAAATGTTTTTTGTTTTTTATTAAAAACTGCTTTTTATTCTAGCAAAAATAGAACAAATAAGACTTTCTCCAGAAGATAAAATATTATCAGACATACTGTGAAAAATTCATTGCTCTGTTAAACATCATTAGGAAAATATTTGAAAAAAAAAAAAAAATTCACAGGAGGGTGAATAATTGACTTCAACTGTATATCGTACAAGGAGAAAGTATCACAATGTTAGATTTTTCCAATATCGTGCAGCCCTAATTACAATGTTCAATTCATGTTTTTTTTAAATCTCTTTATGAATGTTTTAAAGCAACAGATTTTTTTGTCAAATGACCTTCAATGAAAGAACACTTCAGCTGTCTACCAAAAAAAAGCAGTGAATATGGGTTTGGGCTGCACAATATTGGAAAAGTCTGATATTGCGATACTTTATTTTTCTGCAATAAATATTGTGACATAAACACAGTTTCAAGATTCATAGCTCTATTTGGCAGTTTTCTAGGGAGTCTAACATAAAGTTGAATTCAGAGTTATTAGCCCTTTAAATTATTAGCCCCCGTTTAACGGAGAGATTTTTTCAACACATTTCTAAACATAATAGTTTTAATAACTCATCTCTAATAACTGATTTATTTTATCTTTGTCATGATGACAGTAAATAATATTTCACTAGATATTTATCAAGACACTTTAAAACAGCTTAAAGTGACATTTAAAGGTTTAACTAAGTTAATTAGGTTGACTAGGCTGGACTAGGTTAGGGTAATTAGGCAAATTATTGTATAATGGTGGTTTGTTCTGTAGTCTATTGGAACAAAAAATTTGCTTAAAGGCGCTGATAATTTTGACCTCCTTCATTCATTCATTTTCTGCAGCTTTTCCGGGGTTTCCGGGGGTAATTTTGACCTAAAAATGTGTATTTTTATTTTATTTTTTATAAAAAACGGCTTTTATTCTAGCCGAAATAAAACAAATAAGATATTCTCCAGAAAAAAAAAAAAAAAAAACATTATCAGACATACTGTGAAAATTTCTTTGCTCTGTTAAACATTTTTTTAGGAAATATTACAAAAAGAAAAAAAAAATCAAATAACTCTGACTTCAACTGAATACAGTAATAACAATGCAAAAACTCTTTTCTTATTTTGCATTGTCTCGTTTCTAGTCCAAATATGAAAAAAAAAATTAGATCAAGTAAAACTATTTCATTGTTTTCACCTTCAGAAGAGACAACTCAAAGTTTTGAGCTATCTTTTTGAGCTAAATTAAAATAACCAAAATGATCTGCCATTAGGGTAAGCAAATCAATCTTGTTTGCGCTTTAAAATGTAGATATTTGGACTAGAAAAAGGACAAAAATTCTAAATAAGAAAAAAAAAATGTGTATATTGTATAAATAAATAAATAATTAAATGCAATTAATCTGTTACACCCCAAACATTCTATTTTTTTTTGCGGAAATGTTTTAAACTCTCTTAAAATGCTCAGTTACAGGCCTTAACAGCACATGCAAATGACAAACTTTTGCTCTATTATGGTTAAACTTAGCAGTGACTCTACAAATCACATGTGTTCTGTAGCTCCTGGTCAACTATAATTCCGATTCAACATTGCATATCTCACGATGTGACTATTGTAGATGAACAGATTGCCATATCAATGCTGAAACAATATATTGTGCAGCTCTAGGACTGGCCAACCCTTGAATTCAGTGTTCACACTAACCTTAAGCTCCTTAAAGAAGATGCAGCTTCGTGCCCACTCCACGATAGAGAAGAGCGTCTGGTCGGCCATGTGGCACATGAGGCCAAATGTGCTGAGCCGCTCGGGTTTGGCTGCGAGGCGGGAGCTCTGCTCCTGATTGGCTGCCGTGCTCCGTGAGTTCTGCTCCTGCTGCAGGTGCGCCAGGTGAGCGCTTATTTTGCTTTGCACCTGGAGCTCATCCTGCTCACAGCGAACAAACTCCAGAACCAAAGGCGGCACTGTTAAACCCGGTGCCACCACCTGCGGGCTGCTGGACACCCGTGTTTGCTCGATATACGTGTAGCCTGGCACTGACTCTGGGGAGCTGGCACTGGTGTAATGCTCTGAGCTTGTGTAGTGGTCAGGATACTCAGACTTTATGGCACGGCTGGGCAGATTTGGATAGGGGTATTGTGCTGGGAGAGGAGTGTGGGCCGGGATGGGGACGGATAAACTCAGGGAGCTGGATGCGTAGAGGCTGCGTTCGTAATCGGTGGGTGCCACAGAGGTGACGATGTTCGGATGGGTGTTTTTCGGAGCTGGCACAGACAAAGCTGTGCTGAAGGTGTAGTCAGGTTGTGGTGACGTCAGCAAAGGGGGTGTGGCTTCCATCTTTAAGCCACTGGCCCGGATGAGAGCTTTCTTCTGCTGCTTTAACGCCCGGTCTCGCTTATACATGGGGCCGAATTTGTTGCGGCCTCCTCGCATCCTATCCGCACGGACAGCTGTGAGCACAAACAATGATATATTACATTATACATCATAACTTTTTATTATTTTATTGTTATTAAATTATTATTATTATTATAAATAATATAGAACACTGAAAGCAAATATATTCAGTAGAAGTCAGAATTATTTGACCCCTGTTAATTCTTTTCCCCAATTTCTGTTTAACGGAGAGAAGATTTTTTTTTCAACACATGTCTAGACATAATAGTTTTAAAAACTCACCTCTAATAACTGATTTATTTTATCTTTGTCATGATGACAGTAAATATTATTTTACTATATATTTTTTCAAAACACTTCTATACAGCTTAAAGTGACATTTAAAGGCTTAACTAGGTTAATTAGGTTAACTAGGCAGGTTAGGGTAATCAGGCAAGTTATTGTTTAATAATGGTTTGTTCTGTAGACTTTAAGCTATATATTGGAAAAATATATAGCTTAAAGGGGCTAATAATTTTGTCCTTAAAACTGTGTTTAAAAAATTAAAAGCTGCTTTTACTCTAGCTGAAATAAAACAAATAAGACTTTCTCCAGAAAAAAAACATTATCAGACATACTGTGAACATTTCCTTGCTCTTTTAAACATAATTTGGGAAATATTTAAAAAAGAAATAAAATTCAAAGGTGGGCTAATAATTCTGACTTCAACTGTATATTGAAAAAATTTTTGTATAATTAAGAACTAAATAAACAACAAATATAATACAATATAACAAATATTAAAACAGTATGCTGCTTGCATAAATAAAATAGTTCATTATTTATAATGCTATATACACTGTAAAAATAAGCGTTATTTTACAGGTAATTGTCTGTATTTTTACAGAATTTTTCAGTTTTTTCATTATACAGTGAAAAACCTGCTTTTTTACAGATATTTTATGAAATAAAAAACGCTTAACATTAAATTTACAGTTATTAATGCTTGTATTTTAGTATTACGCTTAATTATTTGTTTTTTTAAAGGAAATGTTCTGTATATTCAGAGTAACACGTCATTTTACGTTATTATTTACAGATTATTCCTGTAAAAATAGGGAAACAAAAATTTTATCAATTTGTTTTTAGTGAAGACAGTAATTATATGAGGATTAACGTCCGGTTAATAATGTCAAATAATAGCCTATTGTTTGTAGGCTGCATATAATGCATGCACTGTAAAATTTAAAATGTTTATTTTACTACTCTAACAATATTGCTGTGCTAATTATTAATCACCAGTAATCTAGTGGCTGCGGATCGCTGGAAAACTACACACGCTACTTTAACAAACTACAACTCCCGGCATGCACCTCGCACACCCGGGTTCCTATTTCTGACTGATTACACACACAGTCAGAAGATCTGGACTGATTTCAAGGACTACAAACTTAGCAAACACAGACACATCGTTGCTGAGTCTTAAACTGTTTAGTGAGCATTACAGTTTTACCCCTTTACTTTTACATTGTTTGCCGCCTTTGAGCTTGGGATTATCTGTGCACCTGTTTGTTTCTGTTTCAACCTTTAATTGCAAGACGATTCTCTTAATAAATTGCTATTAGATCCTCAACTTTGTTGTGCAGGCATCCTTACATGACACTAATCTTGTTTTTGTTGTTAAACCATGACCAAATATGTTTTTTTTTTTTGAAAGAAAGAAAGAAAGAAAGAAAGAAAGAAAGAAAGAAAGAAAGAAAGAAAGAAAGAAAGAAAGAATTAGATATATAACAATTTTTTATTTTTTCAAGCAAATTTGTTTTTGTTTTTTACACATTCTAAAAAATATTTGTTAAACTAAATTATATTTTATAGTTATATTTACAGTGTTTTATGACAACAGCAATAATTTGTACCTAAGATTTTTTTAATCATACTTTAGAATATTTTATTGGAAAGTGGAAAAATGTATGGAATATTTAAAGATTTAATGCATAATTACATGAATTATTCTGTTTAATCACAATAATTAATGTGTGTAATACAGTAATAACCTGCATACTTACAGTAATAATCATTATAATCACATTAATTAATTTGTATAATTGCATTAATAACCTGAAAATTACAGTGATAATCTTAAAAATCACACAAATTAATCTGTTTTCCCAGTGCTGGGTTGCAGCTGGAAGGGCATCCGTTGCATAAAATATATGATGGATAATTTAGTGGTTCATTCCGCTGTGGTGACCCCTGATTAATAAATAGACTGAGCCTATATATATATATATATAGTAATAATTTGAAAAATGACAGCCATAATCTGTATAATTGCAGTAATAACTAGTAAAATTGCATTAAGTACCATTTTTGTTCTTTTTTTTTTCAAAGTTTAAATGCAAATTATCAACAGTGATAAACTGTAATTTAATAATTTTTGATCATAAAGTATATTCTGTATTTTTAGTTTTTGCTCGTAATTCTGTAAAATAGTTATTTTCTGTAATTTAACAGAATCTCTCAGGAAGCCCTGTTGCTAGTCTTTTGACCGTTTTTTAACAGATTTTTTTTACAGTGTATGCATATGCCAGAAAGGAAAGAACAATTAAAAAGGGGTTTTCACAGTAATGCCATAGAAGAACTGTTTGGTTGTCTATAAAATAAACCTCTAAATGGTTAGCTGAAATAGTTTCTGCATTCAAGCTGGATATGGTTCTCTAGATTCGGCAAACAGAAGATGAATGATAAAATATAGGACCCTTTCCTTAGATGTATATGTTAATAATGTCTCTGTATTTTTTTTCTCCTGCTTTTTCTATGTCCACTTTGTTTCTTATTCCATTAGTCTGGCAGAGATTATTATCTTTTTTGATGGTGCTATATAATTGCTGTATTGTTTGCTAGTGGTTTGGTGCACTTTGTTTTTGGTATCAGGTAATAACACTGAGATAATTTTGTTAACACATGCATGATGCACCATTTGGTATTATGTTTTCATAAAAACCTCTATAAATAATGTACAAAATTATAATAAATAAATAAACCTTTAAGTGTAAAGTGTTTTTTTCTGAAGAGCCATTTGCTGAATGAGAAGTTCCCATGCTTATTAGAGGTTCTTCATAGAACCATTGAACCTGTATCTGCAAGTTAGTTACATCATACTACCTTACTTAAAAGGTGCATATTAGTATCCACATGTACCTAAAAGTACCACTATGGACCCTCCAGGTACAAACATACCATTTGAAAAGGTACTGCCCCAGTGACAGCTCCTGTACCTTTATTTCTGAAAGTGTATACTGTTTTAAATCTGCACAACTCTGGTTTGCACTCTTTGCCATGTGCCCTTAAGTGCAATCATATTGTTTACAATTTTTGTAACATATTTTTAAATTATATTATATGTGTAATTGTATTTATTGTAATTTCTTTTTTAAATTATTGATATTATATGTTAGGCACCTAGGGTCTGAGAGTAACGCAGTTTCGATTCTCTGTATGTCCTGTACATGTGGTTGAATTGACAATGAAGCTGACTTTGACTTTGACTGGATGCTAATAAGAACCTTTATATTTTAGAATAAAGGTATCAATATCTTCCATATCTTTAAGGATTTCTATGTTGAAATATACAAAAAATAAAAAATTTAAATACTACAAGTAATGCAGATAATAATAAACTAAATAAAATGTTTATACAAACATAAAGATATACATTTTATTATAAGATTAATAAGTTCTGAGGTGGCGACCCATGTTGAATAAAGGGACTAACCCTAAGGGAAATTAATGAATGAATTATACCCTGACTGTAAATGGTCATGTGATACCAATTAATTATATAATAAAAATATAATAAGTATAACAAACATAATAATAAGTATAATAATCAATGAATAATATCACTTATTGATTGAATATATTGATATTTAAACTATGAATATCAGTTGTTATAAAATAATGTTATATAATAAACAGAGGGAAAGGCTTTCCAGTATAGCATACTTCAAATTAAATTGTATTCTGAAGTAAATAAACATGTTAATTACAAAATGGTATTTGTGGAACTCTAAATAAATAATAAATAAATTTTTAACGCCGTTTTGTTTCTTTGTTTCTTTTGTTATCATTATTTTTAAGAAATGGCGGGTCCAGTTCGACAAGCATGTGAATGTTGCTTCTTGTCTGTTTCTCTAAAATTCGTCCTTCTATTAACTCACGAACTAGTTAAAAATACCATGATAGCCTGAGCGATTAAAAATAGAGCCGTGCTTAAAAGAATACTTAACCTTGATCCAGAAGCAAAGCGCGCGCAGCCGGTAACGCAAAGGTGCCTGCAGATAACAGCGACCTTGCAAAAAACACTGCATTCTTTTTTTCACGGCTGATTTTTTTCGACATCTGAAATGAATCAAGCTGCAGCGATTTAATTTCTAATTCGTTTTTTTAAAGGGTCAACATGTCCTACAATATAACAATTTTCAGCCAGCTGTACAATAAGGAAATGTATAAATCATACCACAATATTTGTTTTTTCTAATGATATATAATATATAGGCTACCCTTATTCTGTAAGAAATGCTTCCTAGCTTTAAGATCTTAACATATTTTTAAGACTGCATTTTTAGATTCTTGATCATACTTATGTTTATATTTTATCATTTTTCTGTGTTGAATCCTTTGCATGTTTGATTTCTCAGTTGTAGCGCTTATAAAATGTATTATTATTATCATTTAAATTTTATGAAATGTATAAAGTATACAATATATATATATATATATATATATATATATATATATATATATATATATATATATATATATATATATATGATTTTTTATAAGATAGTATGCAACATAAATAAACAACTAGACATTAAAACATAACCAAACCATAGCTTAATTTTATCCGGAAATATTTACAAATGCAGCAATTGCATTCCTCTAAAAACAGGCTATTTGTTGATTTAGTAATATAGCCTACTTAATGATGTAGTTCTCTTTATTAAATTGAATCAGGGATTAAATAAGAGAATCCGCTCACCTTCCAGTCGCATCCCGACGTTGAGACATTTCTGGAAGCGGCAGAAAGGACACCGTTTCCTCTGGGTTTTATCAATCTTACAGTCCTGACTCTCTGCACATGTGTACCGTTTGTTATTCTGTACGGTCCTTTTAAAGAAACCCTTTAAATACGGAATTAAAAGACGTTAGTAACAATAAAAGGTAGTATTTATTTTAAATATTACATGTATTTCCATAAGCCGTTGTGTTTTAAATTAACGAATACATAATTAAAATAATCAAATTGATGTATGTATTTGTTTATTGCAGCTATGTCATGTAATAATCCTTCAGTTAAGATCGCATTTTCTTAATCGTGAACGTTCTAAAAAATGTATAGAACGTTTTTCAAACATTCAGAACACGTTCTAAGTGGAACCGATTCCAAAATAGAACTTTTCTTTTTAGGAGTTGTGCCTTTTTGATTCGATTATTTGTGTAATTATATATTCAAATTCAAGTTTTCTGTACACTTAAGGTAAAAATACTATTTGATTCGTTCATAACATAAACATAGGCTTTGAATTAAACATGTAGCTAAAAACAAACGAATAAATCCAGTTAATATAGAATAACGCCGTGACATTTTAGATAACCCGAAGCAACTTAAACTATATTTTAAATGGTTGACTTAATACCTTGCAGCTTTCGCAGGTTAATAAACCATAATGATAGCCAGAAACTTTATCCCCGCACACCGGACACATCTCTTCCAGGTCCGCATCATAACTGTAGTCCATCCCGCCCCGCCGAGCGCCTGCGCACACACACATATAAAACACACTTCAAATGAAGCAAATATATCCTCTCATAAAAAAAAATTATAATTTTATATTGCTTTGGAAATTAGTACATGTTCTTCCGATACATAATTTGCTTCTTGTTTTGTTTTTAAAGCACCTAAATATATATATATATATATACACACTATTTAGACTATACCAGATTTTAAAATTATGAACGACTAGGTTTCAGATTAATTAATAAACAAATTGCACGATTAAGACTTTCAATAACCATATTTAGTATATAGGCTATAAAAGCAAATTTATGTTATTTTCATTAATAATTACATATGCATGATTTTGATAACGCATTATACTTGACACATTAGCTTAATAATTTATGTCTAGGCTCAAAAAGGTTGTAAATTAATTTCTAAAAAAGAAGAAACGATTAAGATAGTAATAATAAAAACAATGTAATGTGCCAAACTGTTTTATTTTGTTTTAACTTCTTGTCAACACTGATATAATGTAATAAATAAAACGCAAAGCCCTCCAATTGCGTGAACTCTTACCTGTCAGTGAGTCTCTGCTCCTCTGCGGTGCTTCAGTGCTGCTGATCTCTGCGTCAGGGATGTAAACACAAGCCGAAAAAACTGCGCGATCCTGCGGCTTCAGTGTGCGCGTGTTTCCCCGGTAAAACCCGAGTGGTGTGTGCGAGGACAGAGCGAGGGCAGCAGCTCTTTAGTGTTTGGCCTCGTGCGTTCACACAGCAGACATGCCCTCATATTCACTCACACACACACATACACAAAAGCAAAAGAGTCACTGAGCGACAGGAAAAAGCGCCTATCTGCAACAGGTTGCCTGAGGATTGGGAGGAGACTAGAGATATTGAAAATAAACTCCAGAGAATAATTACAGGGATTTTGGGATTGAAAACGACTACTAATAACAATAGTAATAATGATGATTATGATGTAACCATGCAAATGTATCCATCATTATTAAGGATACATCCTATTCATTATCGGCTAATGTAAATCAACAAATCCAGGAACCTTTAATATCTTGACAACTTTTAAAATGCACAACATATTAATTATTGGGTTCCTTAGATTATTAAAATGTTTTTAACATTAATAAAAATGGTTCTTTTAAGAAATAATCATTGAGAGGGGTATTTGTTTTTGAGAAAGGTATAGGATGAAAAACATTTTGCATCCTTAATTTGTTAGGCTTTAAGTCTATTATTATTATTATTATTATTATTATTATTATTATTATTTCAACAATAGGAATAAAAATGAACAATGTGCACGCATATTTTATGCTTTCATAGTAACGTTTGCGTGGTCATATAGGTTAAAAAACGGTGCAAAACGGCCATGACGGTAAGCTTTATTGGCTAAAAACTGAAAGACTAACTTGACATTCAAAGGCTGCAATTAATAGGCTACGCTGTTGAAGGAATATTAATGACAGAGATCTGATAGCTGCGATGATTGATGCTCTTATAATAAACGGCTCGTTATTTAACTCCATTGTTTTAGACAAGATAGACTTGACCTACCAATTGACGACTTATCCGACAAAAACCTGAAGTAAACTGAAATTAATGTAGTTTTTAAGATAATTTTTTTAACCCTTTAATTGCCCAACCAAGATTTTTTTGCTTGCATTTCTATGTCGCTAGTCAACACACTCAATGCATTTGTTTTCAACACATCCCTTAATTTCTAAAATATCAACCTCCACCAGATATGTCGGATTATGGTAAAAGCGTAATTAATAGATATACTATGAAAAATCTGTAAGACCAATTTAAAATGAAACATTTTTCAACACTAATTTAAGTACGCCTATTATTCAGATTCTCGTTTAACATGCAATGCATGTTAAATGCATTACAATACAGTCAAAATTAAGTGTAGTATTGCAACATGATTAAGTTTGTTTGATTATTTTGTAAAGCACCAATGCTGTGTAGTGTAAATCATTAGTCATTCTTTAAATGACTTATTTAAAACAGCCAAAATGGTCCACCATTTGGTAGAGCAGGCGGTTAAAGAGTTAAATGTGATTATTGTTATATTTAGAATTTTCAGCTTTATATTTTCAATTTTATATTAATACTGCAGTATCCAGTTTTTCAGCATTAACCTGAAAATGAAATTGCCAACATGATTTAGTCGTAAATACTGAATGCTTTGGAGCACAATACGTTTTTGTAAAGAAAATAGCCCTATTTGACGATTTTTAATGGAATAGAAAATGTTTAAAGTTGTTTATTACGATCAATTCAAACACAAAAATACTATACGAACAAGAATACTCTAAAACCGTAATAAAATCAATGATTTAAATATGCTTCTGAAGGAAGATTGAAAAAAAGATTGTTTTCGGTGTAATACCAAACTTTTCCACTAGATGCAAATAATTTCCAATTTGTTATCAAAGTGTTCATATTTGACCGCGGACAACACAAGCATTTTTGTCATATATTCAACATACCAAAACACACATGCAGACTAACAAATATAAAACATAAAAAGGACACATGCTGCCAAAATAACAATTAAAAGAGAAGTATTTGAAATTAATTAGGCCATGTTTTACTTACACAGGCTAAATAATTTAAATCTAATATATGCCAATATAGGCTTACTTATTATAATCATAGGGACAGGTTTAATTCAAATATGGAGCAAAGTAATTGATTTCTGAATATCGCCATTACTGCATGCTTTCACATTATTCTGCCATCACCATCATACTCAATTTATCACTATAATTATTAAAATCGTATTTACTGTTATGAAGCAATCCGCATTGCTTTTCTGAACGCACACACGCTCACGCGCACAAAAGAATCCGCCATTCTGTGACTCGAGCACACGAGTGTCTCCATATGGCGCACTTCCCATCACTCATTGTGCTACTTAATCAATAAAGAAGAGCAAAGACAACGCGCAGTGGTGCTGCTGAAGACCTCTAGTGCGCGCTCCCGCTCTCTGTCAAAGGCGCGCGCAACATGTGTTCGTGCACAATAAGCACAATGGGTGACGGGCGCACTTTAATTTCACATTAGCATTTTAATTAATACACTTCTGAAGGCACAGATCAGAGACTGAGTGCCAGAACAACATCCGAACTAAAACACGGGTCATTTGTCAGCTTCTGTCAGAAATAATAATTTGACTGCAGAAACTCATTGCTTCAATTAGGCCCTGAAGGATTTTTGTAATCCAAAATATAAGTAATTTTCACACGTATAATAGCCTAAACAAATAATAATAAATACAATTAGCAAATAAAACAGCTGTAGTGTGACTGTTGAAGCTGGTATAATCATAATCACCCAACAAGCAATTTTGTGTTTAGACATCTTAGACATCTAAACAATGACTTGGCTAAAGCAAGGCTAAATTTGGTCTGTCAGTGAAAATCTAAATAGACATTAAAAATAGACCAAAACTAGACTAGTCATCAAACATAGATTAGACAGACTTTACATATGTAGTTGTTTATATTTTTATTTGCATTAATGACTAGTCTAGTTTTGGGCTTTTCTTCGATGTCTAGATGTTCACTTAGAATTAGCCTTGTTTTAACGAAGCTGTCTTTGTTAAGACGTCTATTAGACTTCTTTTCAAACACAAAATGCTTGCTGGGCAGTGTTTGAATAATACATCGACCTATGGGAGGGGGTCAACTTTTTTCGCTAGCAGTTAGGTAAAACATTCTTCAGTGAATCAAATTTATAAATTTATTTAAATTTTAACAAATTTATTAATACAATTTATACATTTTCAGTGTCTTGAGGAATATTTAGAGACTATTTTAGAGGTCAAACTATCCAAATGATGTGTCAAATTTTTTTCTTTTTTAGGCTACATGCAGATATTAACACCCATTTTACAGGAAACATCTTTTGTGAATACTTAAGATCTCTATTGGTGCTTTAAATCTGCCAGTTTCGAACTGTTTAATGATATTTTTCCTATTATTGATTGGCGCCATTATGCATTCACATTGGTATTATCCAGGGGAATCAAATGTATATTTATATTATACATTTTTAATTAATAATATTTAAGATCAAATGTCAGAGAAAGCTATTTACTATTGAGGGGGCTGACCCCCATACATCTGGTTTAGATTTTTAAAAATACTTAAGTACACTGTAAAAAAAATCTTGGTTGCGTTAATTTTTAAGCTGAACCAAATTAACCTTATGAGTCTATTTAACCTATATTATGTTAAACTGACTTAAAACAGCTTGTGTAACTTATAAAATTAAGTTAGAACATAATTAACTTACTTTAATAAGTTACAACAATTAAAAAACATGTTTTCATGACTAATTGTTAAAATAATTTTTACAGTGCAGGCTAAATATATTAAAATGTTATATTACTATTTAAGTAATATTTGAATAAATATTAATAAATGAATATTCATTAATAATGTTATTTTTCATTAACTATTTAATTATACACTATTGCATAAAATCGCTCTACTTCTATAACATGTTATCATGTATTGATATTACTGTACAGGTATTAATATGTCAGGCAGCATGGTGAAAGGGCTGGTTTTTTTTTGTGAAAGAAGCGAACCTTTTTGTAGTTTTTCGCCTCATTTTCTATTTAATTGTGAAATTTAAATACTGCATTTTAGTAACATTTTAAGCACTATTTTAGCTGGATTAGCTGTTGGGATGGCCATCAAAACCACACTTTTTATTGTAGCGACCAAACATATTTCCTAAAGATGTAGAATAAACAATAATAGCCAAATTAGTACTTAAATTCTTTTTAATATGGTGCTTCACGCCTTTTTATTGGTCATTTGTTTCAAGTATGAGGTCCAAGATTTAGAATAAAAGTTACTTGTAAAATCTTTCCTCCATTTAAAAACAATACAGTAGCAAAATAATGACTTCACTCAAGTCAGATTGTGTTTTCTTGCAGCTGGTTTTGGACTACCGAAAGATAATTGTTTAGATTGGCCAAAACTGATTAGCCACACCAAAGCAACAGCTAACAGATGATTCCGTTTGGTCTTAATGACCTTTTCTATGGGTTATTTTCACTATATCCGATGGCATAATAGTCAGAACTGAGTATGTAAAGGACAAATTTTGGACCTTTGTCAGTGAGGGGTGGGTCTTCTGAACCACCCGACAACCCTCCTCCTGGCTACAGGCCTGTACTTTTGTTTACAGAAAAATAAATTAAAAATTAATGAAAAAATTAAATGTTTCTGCCACATTAACACAATCTAGCATCGCAAAACTACAGCCAGACAAAAGCATTTGATAACACAAAACAATGTTTGTTGTTATTCAGGACTATTACATCTGAATTAGAACATAACAAGACTAGCAATATTATCATATTAGCAAATTATCATCTCAGAAAAGAGATCGGTTTAAAACAAAAACATGGTGTAAAATATATCAACAAATCCTAAAAGAATTGTTATTATTGCAACTCATTCCTTTTCACCAACATGATGAATGTTCTGACATATTATTATCTACGGTCTGTCCATCAAAATATTGTTCCAGAAAAACGAAACATCACTTTAAGTGACAAAGAGAGACTTTGTGAGCCCCAACAAAGGGACTCTGGCAAGGTCAAAACCCTGCGGAGTTGTCATCTCTAGCTCACAGAAGACCTGAACACCGCACCTGATTTTATTCTTAAAAG